GGGCGATGCTATCAGCGCCGCGCCGCAAAAACATGTGACTTTTCATCTTCTTCAACAGTGCTTGTCGTATGCGCCAGCGCGAGAGATGATGCCCGAGGCCTTCGGGGTCACCGAAGACATGCTGAAGCAAGTTGGTTGGAAAAAGCTGGACACAGGTGCTTGGATGTGCTTGGAAGAACACACCGAGAAGGTCAATGGGCCCGAACCCGGCCATGAGGCCTGGCGGCTCCCTTGGCGAACCTCTTGGACCTGGAATGGCGCAGACTGGAGCCTGCTAGAGGACGAGGTCCGCTGGCAAGACAAGGCCCAAGACACCCGCTTGCAACCCAACACTCGTTACCTCAGCATATACCAAGCCAGATTGGATCAGCATGCAGATCGGCGCATGAGACATTTTCCCGGCATGGCACGTGTGACCTTAGAGAGAATGATTCGGAAGGCTCACGAAGGCCTGGACATCCTGAGCATGGTCGTTTTCTTCGTATTCTCAGGCAGTCTAAAGCGTCGGAAGAAGTTATCGAAGCAGCCAAGCAGTTCCGGCGCTCCACCTGTGAGGCATATCAGCTTCCAGATCCGGCGCGAAAAGGCGCACCGCCCAAGGAAGAACTCTTCATCAATGAATGGGTTGGGGTTGACACAGTACATCTTCGTGACCATCAGAATCAAGCTGTACCAGCCTTGAACATCATTGATTTTCATACACACTTCCAGTTGGTGATCCCTATGGACAAAGAATCAGCAGCTGAAGTACGAAAAGCGTATCGGCAGTGGGTTCGGTTCTTCGGGGCGCCCCGCAAGGTTATGTTTGACCTGGGAACAGAGTTCAAAGCCGAGTTTCGCCGCCAGGTGGAGAACGATGGAAGTGAGGCGTTGCCAAGTTCCCTGGAAACTCCAACTCAACGAGGCCTCACAGAACGGGCCGGCGGAGTGTTCAAGAATATCCTTTACAAGTCCATGCTCGACTACCAGTGCCAAAGTCGAGAAGAGTGGAAAGAACTTGTAGACGTAGCCTGTATGACACGAAATAGGTTGCTTCTTCGAGGGGGTTACTCTCCCATCCAGCGCGTGATCGGACACACGCCTCGTCTGCCAGGTGGCCTCTTGACTGGTGGCGCAGATGACCACACCATGGCAGGCCGCATTATCACGGGAGACAGAGACGTGACTAGATCCATGAAGATGAGAAAGGCGGCTGCTGTAGCGTTTCATGAATCGGACTGTGACCAAGCCCTGAGAGCCGCTACACTAGCTGGACCACGTAAGCTTAGCGATTTCGAAGTTGGCCAGGCAGTCTACTTTTGGCGGAGGGTCGCTGGAAGCACAAAGAAGACGAGGCAATCATATTGGACTGGGCCTGGGCGAATCGTGATGACATCTCTTCCCAATGCCATCTGGATCGCCTATAGCAACACCTTGATTAAGGCAGCCCCTGAACGTGTTCGACACGCAACAGCTGAAGAGAATATGTCCATTTCAGGTTGGTTGCGTGGTATTTCCAAACCCGGCAGGACTTCGAGAAGCTTCCAAAGAAGGGGTTCGTAGACCTAACAGGAGACTATGAGATGCCGGGCGAACTTGAAGATGAGCCAACGAACCACATGATGATACTGATCCTCTCCAAGACCCTGAACCAGTATCCGGACTCCCTCCTCTACGTAGAGTACGACAGAAAACCTCAGAATATGAACATGCCAAAGAACCACTAGGGCCTCCTCCTGGTCTAGCAGAACCCCCAACCGAACCGAGAGGTGAACCAGAAAGAGAACAACCTGAAGTTCCCGCTCTTGAACCTGTAGGCCCTCTTCCCTTCCTTTCGCCAGGTGAAGAGCTCTTCGACCGCGACATCGACGTCGAAGAGAATGCCGAGAACCACGAGCGAGGCCAGGGTTCTTCAGGGACAAGTCCTACAGGGTCGTCTGGGTTTGCTGACAACAAGAGGGGTCCAGAAGACAGAGAGCCAGAACCTCCTGGAAAACGTAGTCGAGTACATCTTCTTGAAGTTTATATGCTCTACATGACTCTACATCTTCAAACGTTAGCAAGGGCTCGACAAGAGAAGGAGGTCAGAGCGACCGACTTCAAAGGAGCGGATGCGGTCAAGTTGCAGCGAGCCATTCTGAAAGAAATCAACAATAATCTCGGCACCAGGGCATACGAGTTGCTGAGCTCAGCCGAGTCCGAGCAGATTCTCAGAGAGAAGCCAGAGAAAGTGACGGAGTCCAGATACGTCTTGACAAAGAAGCCCTTGGAGCCAGCAGAGGTCGCCGGCGCTGAGAGTGAAGGGCTGTTGCTGAATGATGACACTCATGGTCCTTGTAAAGCAAAGTGTCGACATGTCATGAAGGGATATTCAGAAGAATCGGCACTGGACGTTGAAAGCACCACGCCTCAGATCAACAGGGATACAGTGATCTTCATGCTTCAAATTCTCGCCAGTTTGGGTTGGGATCCAGGTTTCTTGGATTTCACACAAGCCTTTCATTCAGGGGATGCCATCAAGCGCGAGCTCTACTGCAAACAGCCGAAGGAGGGCATACCAGGCGCCAAAGCAAGTCAGTTGTTGCGACTGCTGAAAACTTGTTATGGTCTCACAGACGGGCCTTACGCTTGGTACCAGCATCTCGACCGAAAGCTCAGACAACTAGGACACAAGGCAAGTCAAGCAGATCCGTGTCTGTATTTCTTGCATGGCGGCGCTGATCCCGAAACCCCTGAACTTGAAGGTGTCATCGGTGTTGCGACTGATGACTTGTTACACGGTGGCAACGAAAGACATTGGGCCAACATAGCAAGCGTAGCCGCCGAGTACAAGTTAGGCAAGAACCAGAGGGGCACGGGCAGATTCACTAAGGACATTGAACTGCAGGCCGACGGGTCCATCAAGGTGAGTCAGGCCTTCTACGTGAAGGAGAAGATCCAGATCATAGCCCTGACCCGAAAAAGAAAGCAACAACGGCATTCCAAGTGCACCCCCCAAGAGATTGAAGCCTTGAGAAGTTCATTGGGTGTTTTATCCTGGCTGTCAAAGGAGACCCGGTGTGATATTGCCGGAAGAGTGGCCTTGTTGCAACAAGCCTTCCCAGAGCCCAGAGTTCAGGACCTGGTCGAAGCCAACAAGATCAGTGAAGAGGCTCGAAAGTATGCCCATCTTGGCATCAAGGTCATGCCGATTGCGCCGGAACGACTGCGCATCTCGGTAGTGACGGATGCTGCCTGGGGTAACACTAGAGATCAGCCCTGGATTGAAGACCATCCCGATGACTACTGGGAAGAAACCGAAGGAGAGTGGGTGAGGCACCACGTTCAACCAAGGCGCACGACATTCCACCCTGGCGCGGCGCCAGGTGGACCAGACCTCCACAGCCTGGACAGGAAGAGACAGATCTCCTTCTTCGCTCCTGAGCCCGACGGGGAGATCAAGAGTGGCATGGTTGAAGATGACTGGTCCGATGGCCATGGAGTACGAGTTCTTCAAGACCAATCGTGGACAGGAAGGACAGTGTTCAACAAATGTCACGACGAGAAGATCACCAACCAGAAGATCCACAGCAGTCTCGCCCAACTACAGAATCTCAGCAGCCAGGGTGGCCAGATCATCCTGTACCACGACCGCTCTCTTTCCGAGACGGAGCAACCGGCGATGGCTACGGTGGCTTCGTGGAAGAGTTACCGGCTGAAGAGGAAGACGGTGGACACGCTTGCTGCGGAAGGACAAGCTCTACAAGCAGGGCTCGGCAGCATTCACTGGCACCGATTACTCTTCATGGAAGCCTTTTACGGCATGCTTTCGGCGAGTGACTGGAGAGAAGTAGCAGGTAGGTTACCTTTTCTTGCTGCAGCGGACTCCAAATCTCTTTTTGATGCCGTTAACAAATGCGCGTGTACAGCTTCGTATGTTAGCGACAAACGAACTGCCATTGACCTTGCAGTCATAAAGGCAGATTTGGCACAGACAGGCGGAACCATCCGCTGGATCGACACAAGATCTATGTTATCGGATCCACTTACGAAGCAGCATCCGGGAACATATCTAAGATACGTTCTTGACAAAGGTTTTTGGGCAATAGCAGAGGAAGGACATGCTCTTCAGGCCAAGGCCCGGAAGCGGGAAGCAAGACGCTTCTCCGAGAGTATGTTCCTAACGTTTTGGGAATTTAAAGTGTGACCGGTGTGTTTTGTGTGGAGGCTGACTCCCAAACCGTTTCCCTCAGGAAAGCAGAGTTGCACAAGGAACTTCCTCGGAAGTTTCCCTCAGGATATATGCTGCCACCATGCGGTGGCTCAAGCCGGCAGCAAGGAAGAAAAGGCCCCAGGGGCCTTGCTTAGAGTAGGAGCGGCCACTGTAGTTTCGACTACACTGGAGTGCCCAACGCAGAGTATCTCTACCAAGGGAGGGTGGGGATGTTCGAAGAAAAATACTTACTAAAATACTTAAGAATGATTTTAATTGTGAAATTGCAAATATCGTAGCAAAATCGGTCGCTAAATGGCAATCTCGGAGACAGAAATTGAATGATAATGCAGTTACATTGTCCAATCTTATCAATCCTCGTCGCTTTACAGGATATACAGGCCCTCAGGCCTAGACCTTAAACCATTTTTCGCTCATCGTTTGAGAAAGACGTCCTCCGGCTTCGGCATATTCAACAAGCCCACCTCGAACAACAACAAAGGCAAGCGGCAAACTGCAGTATTTCGGCCATTGTCGGGATTCATAAAAGCCAAAGCCTCCCCGGAGCCAAAAGCCCAAACAGCCCTAAACCCTTCTCAACTTTCGCTTGGCAACATGGGCCTTAGCCGTAAACCCGGAACTGCACTCTTCGAAGCCACTACGTCTCCTTAAGGTGTTCTGAGGGCCGCAAGCCAGGTTAATGGTTTAGGGTTTGATGTAAATGTGGGCATGTGTAGGCCCGGGTCCATTCTCGAACTTTGGGGCCCGCGCGCCTCATTCCACGATGCTTGCGGCACGGCGAAGCAACTCACACCCAACTACATCGAAGCCTGAAGCACGGAATCGTCACCGCCACATCCGGAAGAAAGCCCTAAACCCTAAACCCTAAAGCCTAAACCCTAAACACTCTTGAACCAGGATCTGGACTCAAACGCAGGCCATGCTCCCCGAATCCTCTCTCCCAAGTTACGACTTCCTGCTCCTCGAAATCCGAACTAAACCCTAAACCCTAAACCCTAAACCCTAAACCCTAAACCCTAAGCCCCAAAAGCCCCAGCTGTGGTCTCGCCCCAGTGCAGCGCAAGGAGCTGTCTGCGAACGCCTCCCATGTCAAGACAGGGCCCGGTCTTAATTCGCCCAAGGGGGGTGGTTGAAGATACCCCCAGAATTCTAAACCCCCAAAACCCCAAACTCAAAAATCGAAGCCCAAACGCCCTGAAAACCGTGAGCCCTCAAACCCGAAAACCCTTGAAGCGCTCAAACATGTGGACGGCTTGGACTTCTCTAGTCGAGTTTACGGTTGAGGGTTTAGGGCTTATAGGGCTCACAGGGCTTAAAGGGTCTGGTTTAGGGCTTCAGAGCTGCTTAGGGTTTATGGGGTTCAGAATTCAAGGTGAGGGCTTCGGGCTTCGGATTAATTAGCCGACAAGATCTGGCATTCACGAGTGATTGCGAGTCCTACGCTGTCGGCTGATTCAATTCTTGGCCCATGGAGGCATATGACTTTGCAACTAAACCCTATACCCTAAAGCCCTAAGAGCCCTAAACCCTAAAGCCCTAAAGGGTTTCGGGTGTTTTTTTGGGGCTTCGGGTTTCGTGTGTATGAAGGCCACCAAACCAACCCTCTGTAAGCGTGACTGTACGGTGGCCCAGGCACTGCCCCCTTTTGGCTTAGGGTTTAAGGTTTAGGGTTTAGGGTTTAGGGTGTCGTGTACCTCCCCAACCCTGCCTGGCGAAAGTTGCCAAGGGGCCCGTGCTCATGTCAGTCGCTATCGGGTCCACCTCAGCAGAGGGGGTCTGAAGGTTGGGGGTTGGGGCCTCAAAGCCTAGCCCTCAACTCTGAAGCCCTCAACCCTAAAATGCAGCAGGGATTTAGGGCTTAGGCGGGTGGGGTTTCCTTGCGGTGTGGACAACCCTCGAAGTAGAAAAATGCTGTTAGGGCCCGCTCCTGGCAATATTACAGAAAAGAAGCCCTCAAACCCTAAACCCTAGACCCTAAACCCTTAAACCCTAAACCCTAAACCCTGAACCCTGAACCCCTAAAAGCCTGGTTCAAAGATGCGTTGGGGTCTCAAGGTTCACCTAGACATGAACCTCAGATCTGCCCCGACAATGATGTCCCAAAATCAAGGTCGACCCGGGGGCAAAAAAAGTGCGAACCCTAGACATCGTTTCCCTCGCGCTAGTCTATCTATTTCTCATGACTTACATGATTGGTTTATTCCCTACTTCAGTAAGAGTATATATCCCATCAGAAAAAAACACAAAACAAACACATCGTAGGACACCATCGTGATACAACGAGCGACGGATTTCTTTGATACTTTTTGGTTTGTGAAGCAACATGCGGCTTTCTCCTTGCCTGCCTCATTCGGGGAAATCTCGGCATCCATTCCTGCGGGGCCGTCCCCCTCCAATGGCTCATCCGGAACATGGCCTCTTGGTGCTTGGGTAGTTCTCGAAAATCGGGTCCCTTTTGGGGGTCGTTTTCTAAGGGTGTCGTATTATGTCGGGGACCCAAAGAGGGAACCTACCCACTTGCAAAACCTCCTCCGAGATCATGACCCTCGCATCCTCCTCCAGAAGCGCGCTCCTGTGCGATCCACAGTGCCTCTTGCCGATCCCTTGTCCCGACGTTTTCGGGAAGGGAGGCGCTGAACCCTAAACTCTAAACCCTAAATCCTAAACCCTAAACCCTAAACCCTAAACCCTAAACCCTAAACCCAGATAGCCCCACTGGCCAACCCTGGGCCTTAAACCCAAGTACATGAGATGGCCGAGAGTACATGAGATGGCCGAGATGAACCGCGCAACAACCCCAAGATACGAATCCTAAAGCCTCACTCCTGTACGCTAACCGCTCCAGTCAAAACCCTAAAACCTTAACCCTCGTAACACCTACACCCTGAACCTTGAACCCGAAACCTTTGTAAGCCCCCGATGAATTCTTGACTCTCAATAACCCTTATTCCTGGGAGCGTGTTGGTACACTACGCTAAAAGCAATACACCATCAGATGCCATCTTCGACTCCGAAACACATCACCCCCCGGGGCAGGCTGCAGGGAGTCAAGGTTTCGAATATGTCTGAGGCTTCGGGGACCCGGCAACGTCGTGAACCAATCGTTTGGCCTGCGACTTCAGGGTTGTGAGCTTCATGTTTAGGTCTAGGGTTTTTAGGACCCAATACCCCTCAACCAAGGAATTGTCCTCAAAGCATAACAGGGGTCATCTTATGATCAAACAATATTCCTGAGATGGAGATTCACAGCACTCGAGAAAAACAAAGGTTAGTCTTTGGGCGATGAACACAGAACAGATTAAGGGATAAGGGTCTAAGGGCTTGACAGGTTTGAGGGTTCATAGGATGTACAGGGTTTTTTGGGCTCATAGGGTTGACAGGGTTCACGGGGGTCTTGGGCTGGTACCTAAGGTTGTGCGAAGGTCCTGCGGATGTTCGAGTTTGGTTGCGGCTGCGGTCGTGATGCTCCCAAAGGTGTGCTATGCTGCCGTTTATGCTTGGAGTCCTGGCATCGGACGGTTTACGGAATTAGGGTGTTTAGGGGATTGGAGATAGCTCTACCTAGCCCTAAACCCTACAGTACCTGCCCCTTTGCATGCACGAGAAAGAGCACGGCCACCAAGCCCAACTTACAAAGATCCAAGACGCATGCCTAGCAGCCGGGACTGCGGCGTCCGACATGCAAGGTTGGGTTTTCGAGATGCAAAGCGCGCGCCCGAGATGCATGGCACCAAGCCGTTTGCATCTCGAAAACCCAACCTTGCATGTCGGACCAGGATTCTATTATCCAGAGAAAATTCCTCCGTGTCTCTTTACTTTTAATAGGATTTCCTCCACAGGCTCAGCAGTTTGCATCTCGAAAACCCACCTGTGCCGGTCCGACCCAGATTTTACTATTTTACTATTTTACTATTTTACTATTTTACTATTTTACTATTTTACTATTTTATTATTTTACTAATTTTACGGGAAATCGGGAGTTTGCATCTCGAAAACCCGCCTGTGCCGGTTGGACCCAGAATCTACCGCTTTACTGATTTCGCAGCAAATCCAGAGAAAATTCCTCCCTCTCTCTTTACTTTTAATAGGATTTCCTCCACGGGCTCAGCAGTTTGCATCTCGAAAACCCACCTGTGCCGGTCCGACCCAGATTTACTATTTTACTATTTTATTAATTTTACGGGAAATCAGGAGTTTGCATCTCGAAAACCCACCTGTGCCGGTTGGACCCAGAAATTACCGCTACCGCTTTCCTGATTTCGCGCGAAATCCAGAGAAAATTCCTCCCTCTCTTTTTACTTTTAATAGGATTTCCTCCACGGGCTCAGCAGTTTGCATCTCGAAAACCCACCTGTGCCGGTCCGACCCAGATTTACTATTTTACTATTTTATTAATTTTACGGGAAATCAGGAGTTTGCATCTCGAAAACCCACCTGTGCCGGTTGGACCCAGAAATTACCGCTTTCCTGATTTCGCGCGAAATCCAGAGAAAACTCCTCCCTCTCTCTTTACTTTTAATAGGATTTCCTCCACGGGCTCAGCAGTTTGCATCTCGAAAACCCACCTGTGCCGGTCCGACCCAGATTTTACTATTTTACTTTTTTACTATTTTACTAATTTTACAGGAAATCGGGAGTTTGCATCTCGAAAACCCACCTGTGCCAGTTGGACCCCGAAATTACCGCTTTACTGATTTCGCGGGAAATCCAGAGAAAATTCCTCCCTCTCTTTTTACTTTTAATAGGATTTCCTCCACCGGCTCAGCAGTTTGCATCTCGAAAACCCACCTGTGCCGGTCCGACCCAGATTTTACTATTTTACTATTTTACTATTTTACTATTTTACTATTTTACTATTTTACTGATGTTTCTTTTCGGACAGATACTACCACTTTTGGGATAGTACTACGCTGTCAGGAGCAAGCCTGCGTGTCTGTCGCTGGATGAGACTCAGGTCCAAGCAGCCAAGCAAGTTTGCATCTTGAAAACCTACCTTTGCATGTCGGACCCCAAGAAAGTTTGCATCTCGAAAATCCAACCTTGCATGTCGGACCCCCAATTTGCATGTCGGACAGAGGGATCCCGGCGTCTAGGGGCACAAAGAACCCAAGACCAGAATTAGGGTTTAGGGTTTAGGCGATTAGGGCTTAGGGTTTCCGGTTAAACGAGGCTCTAACCCCTTACTAACCCGCTCGGTTTATCGATTTTTACTAGCGTGAAACCATCAACCAAAAAGCAGTCGTGCTGGGTGTCAGGAAGCCGACTCTCAAGCCCCCTGAGAAAACTCAAGCAATGGATGGAGGTGTAGGTCGGGCTTAGGGCCTTAGGGCTAATGAGGGCTGCAATTCCCCCTGAGCCTCGAAGGTGGGTATGGGTTGAAGGTTGAGGGCTTCGCCCCTTCAAAACTCACCCTTGGGGCAGAGTCGGGTCAGCGGTTTGAAGACCCCTACACCTTAAATCCTAAACCCTAAACCCTAATTTGGTATAGTCAAGTTCGAGAAGTCCATTGCGGTCATGTTCTGGCGATGCTCATGGAGTTTAGGTAAGCTGGCTTACGGGCATAAATGGGCACGCGACGAAGGGTTCCTGCCTTCCTCAGAAACAAAAAAGGACCCAAACGGCCCCACAAAGGCCTAACGACACCCGAAAGGCTTAGCTCAACAGACAGCAAGCACGACAAGCGGCAAAAGCACGCTAAACCCTAAATCCTAAACCCTGAATCCTAAACCCTAAACCCCTAAACCCCATTGAGGCCGCCTCATCACATGGCTCTTGCATGGCGTCTCTGAGGCTTCTCGCCTGTGAAGTTCTTGGCTGTTGATCTTCGGGGCTCCCCGGACCCGGAGTTTGTAGGACAGGGCGCGAAGTTGGGGATCCTACTTTCTATCTGGTATTTTGGGGCCTGAGTGTGCGCGTCGTGGGGATTCTTGCTGGTCCAGTTTCTGAAGGGTAGTCCAAGATGACTTGGCAACCGGACCCTAAACCCTAAACCCCGGCAAATGGACCCCAAGGCTTGTGGGCTTGCGATGTTGCTCAGAGTTGTTTGCCCAGACCTTGAAGGTAAGTGATCCGGACGACTGGAGGCCTCGAAAAACATGGGGAGCCAGCATGATTCCGATTCGAAGCCAAATTGAACCCTAAACCCCAATACCTGCTTGGGCGTTCATTGTAGGGCTATAAGACAGGTAATTTCAGCCATCATTTGTGATAACCCTAAGTAGAATGGATACTTATGACCACACTTCTAGTCCCCAGACCCTTCAAGACGGAAGAAGGCCTGCCCCTGCAGAAGTCGGGCCAACGGATTCCGTGAGTCCTGCACAAATGCAACTCGTAAAGTTTGGACCCGACCCTAACGGGGCGGTCGGGGGGGTGGGTCTGGCAGTGGGTCTGTGTCTTGGGCGTGTTTTTCTTTAGGGGGTGGGTCGGTGGGCGGGGGTGGTCTGAATGGGGTTGGGGATGGGTGGGGGGGGTGTCTGGGGGGGTGGGTCTGGGGGGCTGGGAAGTGTTCGCCGGGCTAGTTCATTATCTTCATTCGCCCGTGTATTAGTAAAAGCGCGAACGAAGTAAGTGAGTGCACGCACGAACACGCGGGCAAATCTAAGACAGTGAGCCCGCGATATTATTGGTATTACGAAGTGAGTTGATTTGGTGAATATTTAAGGCATGAAATTCACTTCGTCTTTCTCTGGCTTTAGGCAGTTGGAGGTTGTTTGAATGTGCTCAAGGTTTACGGAATGGCACAGTTTAGGGTTATTCGGGTTCGGAGTTGCTCTAGCTCCATGTCTAAACAGGCTTTTATATTATACCAGAAAATGTACCGACTGCATCTCACCTCCAGCTTCAGCAAGAACAGCTCTGCTCCTGGCCAAGTACCCAGGGCATACCCGGATGTTGTGTCTCCAGGACCACTCCGGCTCAGTAAAGGGCAGTGCCGTTGGCCACGCTGTGCCTCCCACGCCAAGCCCACATGGTTACCAGCTGTCCTGAAGCTCCAAAGCCTCGGAATTCGGTGACACAGTAGCTAGCCCGCGTCTCGACCTTTGGCCAATTCGCAGCAGGTCCGCTAAGTTTCAGCTCCAGGAATGGCAGAAAAAGATGCCCCAGCCAGCGCTTCGCGTTGACAGATTGCGCCCGTGCCAAAAGCGCATGTTCTGCTGGCTCAGCCCAGCTTCCTGCGTCGAATGCCAAGCCTCTCCACCGCCCCCAGCAACGGCAAACAATCACGGGCAGGCTTACAATTGGCATCAGTCTGTCTCGCAGGCTTAGGGTGTTTGATTTCTTCAGATTTGCGCTTTGAGGCGCTGGCTTGCACCTCCTCATCTCTCTCTCTCTCTCTCTCTCTCTCTCTCTCTCTCTCTCTCTCTCTCTCTCTCTCTCTCTCTCTCTCTCTCTCTCTCTCCTCTCCCTTTCTCCCTGAGCTCTCTCCCTCTCTCTCCCTCTCTCTACCTGCCTACCTGCTCATGCCAAGTTAAGAGCTCAAGGCTTTCATTGCGGGTCCGGGCATTGACTGATAGGTGGCTTCACCGTAAACAAGCCTCAGACAGTCAGCAGCTGCCGCCCTTGCCGAACTTGCCACCCTTGCTGCCGAGCTTGCCGCCCTTGCCGAGGTCGCTCGTGCCAAGGCTCGAAGATGAAGATGGGCGCGGAGAGACGGCGGCGGTGGCGTGCGCAGGTCTTGGATTGGGCTGGGGGGAATAATGCGACCAAAGAAAAAGCCCCAGTTCTACCCTACGAGAACAAATAGTAGAACGAAAGAAATGCCGGGCACAACGACATGAAGAATTCTGGTTCTGGCCACTGGGCTGGCGGCCCGCCCACCACGCAAGAACGTTGTAGGCCTGCCGATTGCGGCTGTGCAAGTCCTGAGAGCACGACATTACAAAACAAGAGCCGCCCTAAATTCATGCAAGAGGCCTGAAGTAGTCGCTCAAAATGGAAACGAACCAGACCAGGAACGCCGAGAATCTCTCAGCTTCTGAATGTCATACTCCATCTCAGATCTTGCACTCGCCCCCAGGTACGGATCACGCCAGGCATGCTGTCAGGAAAAGGCGGCGGGTGGAAATTCAGCAGACGGACGTGCGGTGGCTCGTAGTGGTCATACCAATGGTGAGCCCTCCGGTAGCCCTCGAAGAGGTTCTGGGCCTCCTTAGGTCTACCGCATTCCACTGCCCTGTCATAATAATTCGTCTACAATCCTTCTATGTAAACGAATACAACAAACTTAAATTGCGAAAAAGCTTCTCTACTTAAGTGAAACCCAAGAAGCACTAGTGTCGAACAGGATTTGGTGCTGAAGCTCCTGGTATCCGGAGCTGGCACTCACCCTCTTCGAAGACAGGACGGTCAAGGCCTTACTTTGATGTGAGGATGAAATCATGGGAAAGAGCCGCCCATGCAAAAGCCAATATCTTAGAACCAATTTGTAATAAATGAAAGTGGGTCCAAGACACAGACTCCGCCTCCAGCTTTCTCCGCAGGCGCGCGCGCGCTCTTTCCGGTTGGGCTTCGGTTTGTTGGGCTTCTTGGGGTTGTCCTTAAGCAGCCTCGATGCACGGAGACTTGCAAGAGCACTAAGTGGGTTACACACACACACACACACACACACACACACACACACACACACACACACACACTTGATTTCATAAGTAGACATCAAATACAATCCGGAACGACTTGTCATACCACCTGCGAATTGCCAAGATAATGAAACTGAGTCCTCGCCTTCGCACGCTGATTCTGATGCAGCTGGCCGCCTTCCCGGTTCTTCAGCTGGCCGGCGGCACCTGTTGCAGCTGGAGCTTATCAAAGAACGCGGGGCGCGATGCTCCCTTACCTTGAGAAGACATTCTTCTAGGGACCTCGATCTCATCTTTAGGTTGGACACATGTAGCCTCATCCCCAATTCCTGGCATACCTTCTAACACTGGCGCTTCTTCAGCGGGTTATGCGGCATGCTACAGCATGTCTGCCCTGCTTTGAGGGGTTATGGTGGGTCACCAATTTTGCGCGCTCACATGTCTGAAGCGCGAAAGGGCCCGCGTGGCTGGATCTGCGACGATACTTGTTCATTGGAACTGCAATGCTGCTCGGGCGCATCCTACTTTGAGAATGCTGCCAACCCCAGCAAAAGGCTCAGCACACCTATTCCGACCCCTGGGCGCGTCCACCACGATGGCGAGCCCAGACCAAGCCTGCGTGATAAACATGCAGGTTCGTAAAAGTTCGTAAACTGGACCAGCGCGGGTTCTTTCAAGTTAGTGATAACAAGGGTTGATGCATAGTAACACACTACACGCAGGATCCATCCTCGATTGAGGTCTGGCGCAGGAGCGACGATTCGTCCCTCCAACCACCAACCTTCATAAGCTTCCGTGCAACCACAGTAACAATACCCAGGCCTGCTGCCACATTCGCCCTTCCCTCTTTCCACCTCCACCGCCACATTTTAATCGTAGAAATCTGCTTCGAGAGTGCGCCGCACATGTCTGCGACAGTAGTGGCGCTGAACAAAGAGGCCCTTTGAGCAAATGAACAATAAATCAACTAAATAGGCTAAACGTACGCATGTGCGTGAACCATCTGCTTTCCATAATCCCAGTCCCATCCCCCTCTCCCCTCGTAGGCCTATAGGGCTTGGGGTTCAGGTTTATTGGCGTCCTGGCATTGGGCTCAATGGTTGATACGTTCGAAAATAGCTATGAGGATAGGGTTTTGTTTGGGTCTCTGCGGCCCCCTTAAGTATGAGCGTAACCCGTAAGGGACGACACTTTGGAGAGCCGACCAGATGGCTACGGGGCTTAGGGTTTCGAGGGCTTTGGTCTTCGGAGCCCACTGATTTGGGGACGGATTTGGGAGGGTTTCAGTTCAAGGCCTGGTTTCACGGGTTAGGGTTTTCGGGTTTGGGGCTTTAAACCCTAACCCAAACCCCAGCCAAATGCTCAATTTAGTTAAACCACTGTACTTGAGAACCAGTCGTTCTGAACGTGCTAAGCTATTTAGGGTGCCCCAATAGTAGGATTCCTATGTAATAAGGACCCCAAGAAGGTACCCCTAACTTCTGAAAACCCCATTGGTCTAAACAGTCGGCGCTGCGCCTAAGATCCGCCTTAAAAAAAACCGAAGCCCAAAAGACCCCTCCGGCAGGAGTCCAGCAAGAAACGAAAGAAACTCGTCGAAACCAGGTCAAAACCCGTCAAAACCAGGCACACAAACCCTATAGTTTTTTTATATCTGATGAACCATTGAGGCTTCCACAAGAGACCCCAAAAGGCCCAGCTGTTTTCCAGGGCTTGAAAAAGGCTGGAAAAGCCTGCGTTTTCAGCAAAAAAAACAAAATGAGAGACCCGCTAAAGTGCCGCTAAAGCCCGCACAACTCCGGACCCGAACCCGACGCAACTTCGATTGTACCAACCCTCACTCAACCTATCCCCGCAAACCCCTGGAACAGTTTGACGTGCTTGGGGTTTGAGGGCTGCTTCTGATTGTTGAGGCTTACATGGGAGCTGGAGCGGGAATGGAGAGGATTTCAACACGGCAGGTCCTCAATCGGGGACTTTAGTTTAGGGCGTAGGGAACGTACAGAAGTGAACTTCACAAGATAATTGCAATTTTTCTCGGTTCTCCCAACGCAATGCATGGTCTCTTGCCTCCAATATCGGCTGGCATAGCAGTTCTCACGAATCCTCCGAACTCCCGAGCTAAGCCAAAGACCGGAAATCCAAACTTCTGTCGGGATTCAGACATCTAAACCCCCACGAAACCCCAAGCCTAAACCCTACTGTAAACCCCCTAAACCCCAAAGCCCAAAACCCTAAACCATATGTTTCGGGCTTCGAGCATGGGGCTCGGATTGGGGCTTAGGGTTTAGGGTTTGGGGTTTAGGGTTTAGGGAGACTGCCAAGAAGCAGATACTGGAGGGCCGAATGGGCAGAAAGCTTTCGGCAAGCGGTGACTCCGAGCTCCCGTGAGCCAACCCTAAACCCTACACACCCGCCACCGCATTTGTGCATTCTGTCAATCTCCAACGTCCCTCGTCCCTAATCCGAAGCTCCTAAACTAAACCCTAAACCCCTAAACCCCTAAACCCCTAAACCCCTAAAACCCTAAAACTCTAAGACCCTAACCCTAAACCTTAAACCCCTAGAATCCTTAAATCCAAAGCCCTTCCCACTCAACCCTAAAGCCTGGGGTTGCGCACTCAGGTGTGGGAACGCTACAGGACCTACGATGGAGGGAATCCCTGCGAGGCTACAGCCTTACGTGTGGGACTTCTCGGGGCCAGGGTTTAGGGTTCACGGCTAGACCCTGAAC